GTGGGATGTGCTCCTCTTCCAGTTCTTCGCCTGTGTCACCATGATCACCTACGCGGTGAGCACTTTCTTTAGCTTCCGCGCCTGGAAAGGGCTCGGCAGCAACGCGGCCACCAGCCAAGTGACTGAGCACGCCTGAGGAGCACGGCAAAGCCCGGGCCAGCTTGTGCCAGGCTTGGTGGCTTGGAGCCTCGTGTGCCACCACGCAGAACGTGGCTCGTTTTGGACCAGCCTGTGCTGGCAGCAGTGGTCAGCACCGGCTCTCGTGGATGCTGCCCTGTGGACTCCGGTGATGCTCCCATCATCGTTCCCCGGCATCGCCACTGAGGGACACGGACTCGCTGGGGCCGCAGCTCCTGCTCCTCCCCGGGAGTCATCCGGATCCTTGCTGCAGCAGCTCCACTCAGGGGGCTCAGCCAAACTGGCACAGTCCAACACTAAAATTCACTAACCCAAGCCCAGGCTCCCCTCTCTGCTCATTCACAGCTACAGTGTAAGTAATGCAATTAACAGGATGCAGAAACAGTGGCAGAGCTGGAAGACAGGAAGGGAAGCAAAGGAAGCAGTCATAACTGCTCTTGTATTGATTTCTAACAATTTGAATATAAATTTTATGCTTTAAATAAAAACATTCCTAAACTCAGCACTGGAGTCTGTCATGAGAAAACTTGTCTTGTGAGGAGGCAGCACACAGAGCTGTCAGGGACAGCAGAGATGTCACTGCAGAGCTGGCTGTTCCCTCCCACTCCATGTGGGTTTTGGCTCACTTGGGCTATGGAAGGAACAAGTCCACAGGGTTCACCTCTCTATGCACACACACGCTCAGAGTGTGCATCCAGGACCACAAGAACACAAACCAGGTGCCAAGGCTTTGATCTGGCTCAGCACCACACACTCCTGAGTACACCTAATTAACCAGCAAGCTAATTCTGCCCATTAGCTGCAGGTCATTTTCAGAAATAACAATCAAGTCTGCTCTGGGAACACGGGCAGGATCAGCGCCTCGGGAAAGGGAAGAACCACGCTGCTCCCCTGTGCTGCAGACCACAAATTCACCTTCTGGGTGTTTGTCAGAACAAGAAGTGATGCCCAGCCAGGCAGAGCAGCTTTTCCATTCACACCCTCCTTGAATAAGGTAGTAAAAGTAGATTCAGTGAGTTCAAAAACTGGTGTGTGGTGAGCTACACTGCAAATCTTACTGCATGCTCTACATGGGATAAGTTTTCCCAGGTTGTCTGCAGAGGCAGGATCAGGAAGTGGAACTGCATTGATGGAAGGTGAGAACTGAAAAGGAACTGGACACATGGCATTGGCCCATGACAGATCTGCCTTTATTTGCTTGTCAGTGAGTAAATCAAGGGTCAAATTTCCACAATTATGAATATATAGACATATATATATATATATATAACAGGAACAGTAAGAAAATTTAAAAAATAAAATTAATAAAAATTAACATGGGAGATCACTACTGAATTTCACAGAACAGGTCTAAATAAAAGGTTCATTTATAAACACTGATGAAAGATACTAGTCTCAGCCTTCCAAACTCTGACACATTCCAAATTAATTTAGCATTTATCCAGATTCAAGTGCATCACAGGACAACTGAGGCACCAGAAACTGCATCTCTCTGGGAAGGATGTGACCAAAGAAATGATGTGCTGTTCTTAAAAAGCAGCTGATGGCTGATCAGCATGAATTTTGCCTTGGTAAACTACTTCCCTGCACACACTGACTTCTCAGTTATAACCACATCCCTGAGAACTGAGCATCTTTTACTGCCAGATGGCCACACTGGGATTATCAGCAACCTGGTCTAGTGGAAGGTGTCCCTGCCCATGGCAGGGGGGTGGAACTGGATGATTTCCAGTTAAGCAATGGTGCTGCAGGAACAGACGGAATAAACTGTTCTCTGTGTTCAGCAGAGACAGAACAAAGAACAAGGAGCTCAAACTGCAGCTCAGGCACTTTATACCAGAGTGCAAAAGGCTCCCTGCAGCAGCAGCAGCAGCTGCTGGGCACTGCAGAAAACTGCCCAGAAAACCACGGCAGCTTCTAGGAAGATCCTGGCAGACACGTAAAGAGAAGTTTGGGTAGAGCTGGGGAAAGGAAGACTATGTCTCACAGTCTTGTCCATCCACTTTGTAAAAGGGTATAGAAATTTCCAGAAAGCTTTGATTTCACCCCCTGGAGAGGGACCCACAGTCCTGGCCCTGCCCCACCGCACACCCACCTCCCTTCCAGCCGCCGTGGAGCTGAGTCCCTGCCCCTCTGCCCCGGCCGTCTCTCGGGAATCGCTGCCTTTCACCTCTGAAATTCGAACAGACCTTGCTTAAAATACAACAGAACTCCCTTCAGAATGACTTGTTTAATGGTTTAATGAAGTCACCACTAATGCACTGCTTAAATCCAGACTTCGACCTTCTTTTTCCTAGAAACATGGGGGAAAAAAAGAAATCTGTGACTCCACGATGATTTGGAAGAAGCATTTAAAAAAATGAAACAGGCAGTACATTCTCTGCTGCATCAAACCAATATAAAATTACATGTTACTTGAGCATCTGCGACTGAATGTGAACCCAAGCAGATTGTGCAGGAATCCCAGGGGTGAGGGGGCTGTCAGTGTCTGCCCATGTCAGAGCAATCTTGCTTGCACCTGGTCGGGAATGCTGTGCCAGGGGCTCAGGGATCTACTGAAATCTGGCTCCTGTCGTTTGCCTCTTGGAGACCCCAATCTACAAATCCCAACTGAAACTCCTCCTGCTGCTGAAAGACTGACTCTTTCTCTTCAGCTTGTCCCCATTTCCACAAAATTCACAGGGATGGGGAAGAGGTAGGGGCAAAACCACAACTGTGACTCTTTTGCTCCTTATCAAACAGGACTGGACCGACACTGGAGAGCACTGATTTTCATTTTGCTAGTAAAAACCTCATCCAAAAATCTTAGCACTTTTGTTTATTCCTCCAGAGAGGAGGAGAAAACAAATGAAAGAGGTTTAAAAAGCTAATTTTGTAAAGACTAAAATAAATGAATAAAAAATAAAAGAAGATACTATAGAGTCAGAATGGCCAAGATGGAAAGGGATCTCTGGAGGTCATCTGGGCCAAACCCCACACTCAAGCATGGTCACTCAGGACTGTGTCCAGACAACTTTAGAGTATCTCCAAGGATGGAGACTCTGCAATCTCTCTGGGCAAGGTAACTGTCACAGTGCTCAGAGACTGTCACAGTGAAAAAGTGTTCCCTTCTGTTCATTTGGAAAACAACGTTCACAAACGCAGGAAGTTCACAACAGCAGGAAGAGCTGCTCCACATGCCAGCTTCATTCATGTTTTCTAGAAATTATTAAATGTGCACTTCGAGTTCAAAAAGACACTTGGTGAAGTAATCTTTCTTTTGACTCTGTTACAGTCTTTGATTAAATACTGTGATAGTAACTTTTCCTTTAGCACTCTCAGGGGGAGCTACACAAAATCAAGAGCCACTGTGTCATTGAAAATAAACAATGCGATATACTCACAGCTCTGTATTCCAAGAACATTTCTTTGAAAGCCAGAAAGTCTGTAAATGTGAGAAGCAGATCAAATATATCACCTGGCATTTCATCTTTGTGTTGTCTACAGATGGGGAATGAGAAAATTGTGTGAGAAAAAGTTGTTTTTTTAAAATGGTACAAGGTCAAAAAGGACAAGTAGAACAGTATCAGTATTTAAACAAGAATGTTATTTCAGGTTATCGTATAGCAAAACTTCAGCCAACTATTACCATGAAGTATTTCCAATCCAAATACATTATGACATTTATTTAAATCCAAGACCTATGAATATCATATCAGTCCTTGAAAACCAGACCTGTTTATTTAAGAAAAATTAAAAATTAAACAGATGCAAATATTTTAAGATACTCAGTTCCCAAATACACTTGATTTTCTTATTCAAGGGGAAAGCCACTGATCTAAATGACAGCTCTTCAGGAATCTGGTTAAGGTAAAATGACCCAATGCAAAAGCTGAACACAAACCAAACTCTTCTCTGAATGCTCTATACAGAAACTGAAGTAAAGGAATTTAACCTCATGATCAAAACACCACCAGGCTACTGAAGTGCCTGGAAGAGATAAACAAGACCCAGCCTCTCAAGGGTCTGGCTTCGAAGTGACAAGAAATATGAAAATCCTTCAGTGTTCTCATTCTGATTTCTCTTCCTACCCCTTCAAACAATATATTTCAGCATGACAATTCAGAAATTTAGAGTAGCAGGACATGCTGAAGGCAGGAAAAGCGGTCAGCCACTACCTGCATGAACACTTATTTTTTTGAGTTAAAATGGAACCATTGTCTAAAGGGAGAACAGCCAAACCTAAGCTTTAATCTAGATAAAAAGAACTGAGTGGCACATAAGCCACTCCTCAACCAAAAGCAAAGCAGAGACTTACTGCAATGACACTGTGAAAGCAACCATATCAAACCCACGAATCCGATCAAGCAACTTCTCTTCAATGTATTTCTCTACTAAAGAGATCTGAAAAAAACCCAGACAAACCACCCCAGTAAGAACACAACAGATTTCAGAAGCAGATTTCAAACAGCATCCTTACACTGACACCTTCTTGACACTCTGCATGATCCTCACTAGGCACAACTGCAGATTCCTCAGTGGGTGTTGCTGGTTCTGGTCTCACATCAGCCCTGAGGCACAGAGCTGCACATTTTTTGCTGGGGATCTTGGGGAGAACAAACACTGACTATTTGTATCTAGTAACAAATATTTTTCCGACTCATTTAATGGTACTGAATAGTAGACTGGTCTAATTTCTTGATTATGGTTTGCATAAAGAATGTGATTGAATTATCCAATACAAGAAATAATACAACTGGAAAAGAAGAAACTTTGTTTGCACACATGCTAAACTGTTCTTTACTACAGCACTTGGCTAAATTTCTATTCAAGAGAGCTACACAACTTCCAAAATATCCCTAGAAAATGTTGTGTGAAACAATGGGAAAGGAACCTAAAGCTTGAGAAAAAGCTTTTCTTGCTCACAGATCATGGCTGTGCTCTGAAGGAGACAGAAACATGTTGGGATCTGCTCCATGTAAGCCCAGTCTTTTATAAAGGGAGAACTACATATAAAAAAAAAAAAATGTAATACATATGAAAAATTGGGAAAGGTATCTTACATATTCATTAAAGATGTCTGTATAGACAAGCTTGTTTTCTTCTGAGTCATCAAACTCCTGGTAGTGCTTCTCCAAAAAATTCCTCTGTATTAACTGGAAATCATCATCTGGGCCATAACAGAAAAGCACGAATTAGTCATTCTTTCTGTAACACAAACCCCACATTCACTGGTCCTCTGCTTCCCTGCTGTAACCACAGAGCCCTGCACACGTGCAGACTTCATCACATCAGCACCACAGCTGCTGCCAAAGCACCACTTCTGACCCATCTGCAAGAAGACAGAGGCTGCTGGTGAAATATTACCAACACAGTCCTCCTGCTCTACATTTATTAATAGTTATTTATTCTGAACCTCTTTTGTTCTGGCTCTAATGTCAGCAAAACATCTGTATTTTTTAAGTGAATATCTCTTCCCTACAAAAACTCAAAGTAAGTTCTTTTTTCTTTTAATTTAAAAATATTAGTGAAACCCCCAGGTTAAATTTTCAATTGCCAAATAATTTTTTTCCAGTTGTGGAAGAAAATAAGAGTAAAAATAAACATGGCAGGTCACCATGGAATTCCCAGAACAGGTTTAACTAAAAAGTTTCTTTATAAAGACTGGTAAAGGACACCAGTCGCAGCTTTCCAAACTCTGACACCAAATTAGTTTAGCTAGCATTTCTCCAGATTCAACTGCATCACTAGGCAACTGAGGCTCTAGAATCTGCATCTCTCTTCCATGAAGCAGGCAGGAGCTCTGTATGTTGGCTAATTAGCAGAAGAGCAGCTGGAAACGTGTTTAGTAGCCCTGTTGTTGTCTGTACCTACTTGCAGACCTTACCCATTATGATATCCTCCAGATAGCCAACAACTGCATCAAACTCATCAGAAGTGGTGGAGCTGAAAGCAAAGGAAGACAGGATTGCATAAATATATATTTTCACCACAGCAGAAATTAAAGTTAAAATTAAAAAGTGTTAACAAAAGCCTAAGTACAAATAAACCCAGTAATTACAAGATAATTGAAAAACTTCCTAGTTTCAACCTACAAAATAATCCATGGCACTGATGAGAAGACTGCTCCACAGAGATTGTCATCAGGCCTCTATTCTATTTCCTCCCAGTAAGGTGCCTAATTGCAAGAAAGAATAAATGTTGTTTTTCTGGCATTACCGTCAAGGTAATTCTAGTTCTGGTGCAAAAGAATGTAAAGGGTGTAATTAGAACAGCAAATTAAGCCTTTTCCAACCCACAAATCCCAGCTGTTACCAGTTTCCCTTCTCTTCCCTGCACAAGGTGATCACAGACCTGCAGACACTCTAGAGAATATTTTGAAATATTTGGTCTTGTGGAACAACTTAAACCGAATGTATACACAAGTATTACATAACTGAAGAAACTTAAATATTTTTCTTATGCAAGAAACATCCTTACATGATCCAAATAAATGGGATAATCTCCTAAGGTTATTCTATCATGACCAAATATTAAACACCATTATGGATCTGAATTTATCCAGGGAATAAATCTTTGGTGGCAGCATCAGGAGTCTGGATCTATTACTGTGCAACATGTTCAGACACAGTAAATAATCCACAGGATGTCTTTGGCATTCACAGCTCATCTTCACTGTGAGACGAACTCTTCCTATTTTCTCTAAGGGATGAAAGACAAACTTTTCTCACACATGAGGGAAAGAAGTCTCAAAGAAACAGGGACATTTGTCTTTAAGAAAAAAATTCGCTTCAATCAGTGAAAGCACCATTTAAATTCAATTGAATGTCTCTTTCTCATCAGTAAACAGAACAGGACAGCCCTTCAGACTAAGTTTTGAGATGCTCATTAAAGTTACTTTGCTGTTAGAGAATACTCCAGTGAAATCAATCCAATAGCAGTTTAGCCGACAGTTTAACTATAATCAGGCTCGTTCTGATCAGGAAAAATTAAGAGATCTTTGATTTAAAAAGGCGTCTGCTCAGTGAGCGATATCCTAGCAACAAGATTCCTGCTGCTGGGAGATGAGCGGAGCCAAGGCCCGGGGCAGCCCGCGAGAGGGCGGCACAGGGCCGGCAGTGGGGCAGCTCAGCGCCGACTTTGCTACGGATCATTTCCACTCTTTTTCCCCCTCCAAATACATGCTACTGCTAGTTTTACAGCGTATCCTAACAGTGCTAATTTAATTAAAGTGTTCATTTAAACCATGGTTTAAGTCTGTGCAAATAATGGAATTTTAACTGCTCCAAAAGAATCTCTATCCACACACCTACAGAGACACGAGCTCACCAACCCTGTGGTTTTAATTCCCTGTCACCTCATAATACCCATTTTGGGCCAGCACACTGTGCTGCTGAGGCAGCCTGGCATAGGCTGTTGTTCAGAGTCTGAGGCTGAGTTAAATCCACGCATGACAGAGGCACAGTCACACATCCCCTTCTCTCACAACTCTTAGGAGAGTATAACAGACATCTGTGGGGTGAAGAAGCATCTTAGCATCTGCCAATGTGAAATTTGGTTGAGATCACCTGTGAGTGGGCCCAGTTTTAGAAGCACACTCAAACACAGAGGAAGAGTCTCCTCTCAGGATCAGCAACATAAGACAACAAACATTCTAGAAAAGGATAAATTCTGAATTTAAAACGAACACCAGAAAAATCAATTTCCAGCCTAAGAAGGCTTGCTCTGATTCCTCAGCAGAGCTACCCTGAGCACAGTGATATTTAGTTTGACTTCACCTCAACTCTGCACTGATGTTATTCCCTCTTGCAGCTTTGCATTCTGCACCTTTGTTCTCCTAGGAGGCAGAATCTGCTAAACGGTGTGGTGTAAATTCATTCCTGTAGTTATATTCTTATCAAGATATTTTAATTAGCAATTAGCTTATTTAAAATCCGACACATGAGAATGTAGCATACTCACGTGGCTACACCCAAACTTTCTCCATCAGATGTCTCCATTGTTCCTGCCTAGCCAGAGTGGAAGAGACAATCTGTATGTTTCAGCTGTTAGTGGTTATTTCTTCTTTTTGACCAAAGTGCTAAGGAATAATATGACTTAGTGTTAATACAAATTCAATTGCTAAGCTGCCACACATTTCCCAAAGAGCAAATCAGTAGATAAATTTTAATTCTTAAACACAGGAATTCCAACATCACATTCTTCCAAAATTTATATTCTTTTTTCTGCAACAACCCAAATAATCTAGAAACTTTCTCTGCCTATTCAGAGAACAGGCTCAAAATCAACCAGTCCCAATAAAGGGGTTTTGGGCACTTCTACATTATTTCTCCTGAAACATCTATGAGTGACAATTACAGAACTAAAGCCGGACAAGATAAAGGTGTGTCCCAGACCAGGCTGGCAGGGGCTGTGTCCCGGCCGGCCGCTCGGCCCGTGGCTGCGAGCAGGTGTCGGGGAGCGGGCACACGGCACCCCGGGGCCGCCGGCGATGGGAACCCGCTGCTCCCGCTGGGCTTCACCCACCGCCGGCCCTCGGAGCCGTCCCGGGGCATCACCGCGAGCACGGCAGGGGCTGAGCGCCTCCCTCGCCTCCCCATCCTCAGCCCGGCGAGGGGGGGGGCACAGCCCTCCAGCCCTGTCCCTCCCCAGGC